TTTGCCTTAAGGTTTGGTTTTTCTTTTTTTTTTTTGGTTAGGTTTGGTTTTTTTTTTTTTGGTTAGTGTAGGGATGCCTATAGGGATTAGGAGGAGGGAGGTAACAATTTCAAGTCTATTTGATGTTTTCAACGTCGGACTGCTCTTAACATTGGTAGTTGAATGCCGTAAACTTCACACAACCAATAGCAATTGTCGTTGTGCATTTTTGTTTAGTCTTAAGTCAGAGATGCCCGATGATTTATTATTGTGCTTTCCACGGTCTGATGTTTGAAATATATGATCACACATTAGTCATGTGTTTCACTTTAAAAAATGTATGATGCCTGCAACATCGGACAAGTCTTTAGTTCCTTGTTACCACATCAAATTGCCCACCTTAAGGACCCGAAATTGAAAGCCCCCCAATAAAAGAAATCCCTACACTCCAAAAAAAATTAAAAATAAAATAAATGAGTAGTTCGATTTTCGAAAAGTATTTTAATAGGTAACTTAACCATTAAGCAAGAGTAAATTTGAAATTTTTACAAAATTACAATGGCATTTTGAAAATTAGTGTCCTGAAGTTTTATTTGTAGAGTACAATTGTCTTTTAGTAAAAATTTCAACTTTACCATTTATGGAGAAGACAAAAGTACCTATTGCCTCGTAGTAATATTTACAAAATTGCCTTTAATTAAGGATGAAAATATCATAAAAAGTAACTTTTTTAAAAAAAAAATATAGACTACAAAATTAGTAAATCTACCCTTCACAACTTTCTCTCTTTAACCTTTGTAATTTGAATGGTTATATATATATATATATATATATATTTCCCTCTATAAGAGTTGTTATTTGCTTTTACGAGGCCTTTTTTTTTAGGATTTCCACTGTCCACCTCAACCTCCTTTTAGGGCTGGGACCATCAGAAAGGTGAAGAGCCTTATCTCTCAAATTAAGATCCATTCTTCCGTCTCCACTGGCATGAAGGTTTTTCTTTATTTCGTTCTTCATCTCTAGTGATCATATGAGGGGTAGGCCTGGGGTTTGCAGAAGTAGGAATCTCAAATACCAACCCATCCAAGATCATATACGTAGTTCGCTAAATATAAACAGATGAAAACAACCATAAATCGAGTACAAAGAATAAAACAAAATAAACAAGATCACATCCTAATGAATACAAAAGTTATATTATGGTTCACTCATAAGAGCCTTGTCAAGTAAAAAATCCATTATCACAATGAAGAGTATAATTTTAGGTTATAAGATATATCTCTCTCTAAACAGGTACAAAAAACGTTACCAGAAAGAGGACCTTATGAGCAACCAAAGACTTTATCTGCCGGAGTGGAAGTTTAACCAACCTAAAATATCTAAGAGGCCATGTTTCTCTCTTTTGGAGACCCATTTTTTTTTTTGGAGATCCCTTCTCATGACCCTAAAAGGGTGCAACCTAAAAGGGGTGGGTATTATTATGTGTTCCATGATCAATAGGCTTTGTTGCTTATCAATAGAACTCCATATTTACTTTAACATATACCATTAATATTTTGAAGAAAACAAAGGTATGGTGATTTGATTATGACCAATCTTAACACTAGACAACCACGACTTGCATGGGGTATATATGTAAACATACACATTAGGTTTGAGGTTTAACCTTGATCCAAACCTAATGCGACCCAACAAGGTCCATGATGGACCCAGTCACAAATTGAATCAGGTTAGATTTTGCTCATTAGGATCCAAATTCAAACCCAACACGCCTAGTATAATATTTGGGTCCAAACCTAGACTCATGTCGAGTTGACCCCTCCCAATGGCCACCCCACTACAAATTTATTTATTTCATACATTAATAGTAGGAATAGAGGGTGAGATATTATGTTGGGGCATCTAACTATATTAGAAATTTCAGGTTGCTAACTAGTACTACTTTATTGTTGTCGTATTTCTAAATCTTCATCATTGGTTACCTCTCATATTGCTAAATTCTCCATTGGTAACTTGTTAGAGTGAGTGGAGAGAAAAATTGATGACCCACTATGAAATACCAAATTTTATGTGTAACTATTATAACTCATTATTTAGACTATCTATTTTCAAGTATTTATATGGAAAAATTATGTTTGTATTATAAATAAAAAGGAGTATAGGTCCACATCTATGCAAATTTTATACGGAGGCCGGCAATTTTTTTTTTTTCTTTCAACTTTTTCCTAAGGTTTGATTTTTCATTTTTTTAGCTTTTTTTGTTAGTGTAGGGATTAGGGGGAAGGGGATAACAATTTCAAGTCCATTTGACGTTTCCAATGTCAGACTGCTCTTAATATTGTCAGGTGAATGCCGTAGACTTCACACAACCAATAGCAATTGTCGTTGCGCGTTTTTGTTTAGTCTTAAGTCAGAGAAGTCAGATGACTTATTATTGTTCTTTTCACGATTTGATGTTCAAAATATAAGACCACACATTAATCATGTGTTTCACTTCGAAGAATGTACGATATTTGCAACATCAGACTAGTCTTTAGTTCCTTGTTACCACATCAAATTGCCCACCTTAAGTACCCGAAATTGAAAGCCCCCCAATAAAAAAAAATCCCTACACTCCAAAAAAAATTTAAAATAAAAGAAATAAATAGTCCGATGTTTAGAACATCTGACCATAGAGTTTTTTTTTTTTTAAAAAAAACAATATATAAAATTTGCATAAATATGGACATGCATGCACGCAGTACCCAGTTTTACTTTTAGTACGTAAGTGGTTCGCCTATATGTAAATCCTTAAAATCGGCTTTACTTTAAAATTTCCACGTGAAATTATTGAAAAACTGAGGCCCCATGCAAATTGTTTTTACCCCCTTGTAAAATTGATTAACGATGAAAGGACGATTAGGGTTTTGGCATTTGTTGGGTGGCGTGGCGCTTGGAACTAAAAGGGTATTTTTCAGAAAGGGAAAGATTTTTAAGGGTTGACTGCAAAAGACAGCAGATAAAGATAATTTTGTCAGGAAAATATAAGGAGGGGCTTAGGTAATTGTCACTGACAGATTTTATTCGAACGAGAAAGGATTTTGCTTTGTTTTTTCCTGATCGCATGAAAGGGGACTCCTCTGCCTCGGGTAAAATTACCAACAAAGGCCCCATCGCTTTGTGGTTTACAAAGAAGGGCACTTAGTCGAAAGACCGAAATACCCCTCATCACTAAATTAATCTGGGATTTAAATCTTAGTTTTTTTCAAGGCCTAGGCCGCCTCATGCAAAGAAACAGGTGAAGTCTCAAAACCAATGATTGAAAAACTGGCCGAGTAGGTCTTACTTGGGCTCGGGCCCTCGTCGAGCCCGACTTGTCCTGAATTGGATGGCCAATTTGGGGATATTAAAATCAATTAAAAAAAATAAAAATTTGAAAAAATAAGAAATTTATTTGAGATATGTTTCTTTTTTTTTAGTTTATCATTTTGGCAAAGACTAAAAAGTGTTTGGCCATAATACTTATTTTTACATTTTTTTATTTTTTAAAATATTTAAAAAATACCCCCAATCACAAGTTCCTTTTTTTTAAATCTATTTTGTTACAACTATTTTAGCATCATTTTGAAGTGTTTTCCTTCGTTTTTATTTATTTATTTATAATTTTTATCCTTTTCTTTTTGTTGCTACAGTACTCGGCACTAATCGGCCAAGTTACTCGGACTCGGTTTGACTAATGGGCTCGGGCCAGGACTGATTACTCGACTTTAGTGACACTTCCTAAAACTGCTCAAAACTCTATCTAGGAAATATTTTGGACATGGAAGATCTCTATAATGGTTTTAAAATCAATTTCCACTATCGATTATTAAATTTATAGCTAAAAAAATGGTATAGATCTTTTAGATCTGTGAACACTTTGAAAATATACAGTTTATATAATGAGTTACAATGTACACTATTTTTAGGGTTTGAAAAACTATTTTATTTTTTCACAACGATAATAGTCAGGGTCAAGAATTGAAGGTTTTCTAACATGAAAGTACAATTTTCGGCAAGGTTTTAACTTTTTTTTTTCTAAGCCTTTTATTCCTGCTTTGTGTCCTTTCTTGTCCTAATGCAATGTGACACTTTTTTTTTTTGACGAAGTAATGCAATATGACACATTACCCACAACATGGATTTAAAAGATGAGTTGATGAAGAAGTAGAAAATAAACCTTAATGAAGAAGTAGAAAATAAACCCTATGCTCTGCTGCGATGGAATATGCGAATGTACACCATTTGTTCATTTGACATTGGAAGAAAATGTATTAATGTACCTCCACAAATTAAATTAAAACTCGTGTAAAAAAATTAAATTCTAAGATTTTATCATCCAAACATTGGAGGGGTCTATTTTAAGTTTTAGGATGTTATTTTCTTAAGCCAACATCAACGCATCTATTTTATTATATTTTTATCATTATTATTTTTATGTCGGTTATTAAATTAAAGAGATTACATACCAAAATTCAGAGATCTAGAAATCATTATAGATATTTTTTTTTGACAATAGTACTTACTTTTTTATTAATAATGGAAAAAAAAACAATACATACATCAAAATAAATCAGACGAAAATACCAATTGAATTCAAATTCATCCCTTTCTTCGCCAAGCTATCTGCAATACTTACAGATATTCTCAGATTGAGTTTTGCTGGGTGGATTGAACAGAGGAAATACTCGAACAGAAACATAGAATCTTTTCTAGAAAATTATTTGCTAAGGCTGCAGTTAGAAACCTCATCATCTTTTCTGCATTTAGGCAGATATTCAATTTAGATGAATTGGAAATTTGATTGCGCAATAATAAGTTAGTCCAATTTGGGATAAATGCAATCAAAGGCCGGAAAAGAGATAGACATAAAGGGCATAGTCGTTAATTAATAAAACCACGAGGGTATTTTCACTTCCAGGCACGAGCACTCTCTGAACTTTGAACAAGAAATGGAGGGCATTTTAGTCAAATATAGGGAAAACAAAAATCCCCCTCCTCCCTTGCTCTCTCTATCTCTCTCGTGATTCCTTTTGTCTGCCCGGGGAGTAGGATCCTGTTATTTCCCGAGGCGATTCTTTCTCTCTCTAACAATTCCAACCTCTCTTTCTCTCTCTAAAATCTGTCTCTCTCCTTCCTCAGTTTCGTCTCGTGCAGAGAGCTTCTCTGCTATTTGCACTATAAATCCATCTCCCGAAGCCCTAATTCACAGTCATTGCCATTCCCTGTTTTGGCCCTTTTTTATTGGCTTCCCCTGTTTCGGAGCAGTGATAGAGAGAGAGAGAGAGTGTGTGTGTGTATGTTTGTTGGTTGCTTAGAAGCTGTATTTGTAGTTTCTACAATGTCGACCTGCAACAATGAAGATCCTCGAATCCATGGCATCGCCTCTTCTATTCGAGTCGTGCCGAACTTCCCCAAGCCAGGTTTCAGTCTCTACTGTTTTTCATCTCGAATGGTCTTGTATTTCTCCGTTTAAATCGTCTGGTTTGGTCATTTCTCAATCTGTGCGTTCTGGTCGTGCTCTAATTTTGCTGCTGATTTTCTCTCTAAACTGCGTTTCATGCCTTTCTTCTTACAATCTTCTCTCCCAAAACGGCCAGGGTTCGTTGTGGAGTTCTTGTGTTGGGATCTCCAATGTGCTTTTCGTTTGAAACTGTTTCTCTGTGTCGATGGATACAAAGTTTTCAATTACTCGGTTGCTCTCTCCATAGGTTCCTCTTCTTCTTTTAAATTTTTTTATCTGGTTATGGATCATAAAGTATGATCTCTAAGTTAATCTCTCTATGTCTCTTTCTCTCTCTCTGACAGTTAATTCTCAGGGCTCTTTTCTTCGTAAGCATTTGTTATGAGTTCAATCTCACTTTTAAGCTCTTTTAATAATCTTATATTCAGTAATTGAGACGTTTGAGAGAGAAGATTCCCTTTTGATAAGTATAAGCTTATCTGTAAAGCTCTCAGTAGTTACAAAAAAGAAAAAAAGAAAAGAAAAAAAGGGGGAAGTCTTTACTGGCACTATGGTTTTCTTTTTTACTCCATTTGAATATTTTGGACTAATTTTATCCAATGTTCATGAAACTGCTTTATATAAATGTTTTTTAAGGATTTCATGTTTGTGACAGGTATCATGTTCCAGGACATAACGACACTGCTACTTGATCCCCAGGCATTTAAGAACACCGTAGACTTGTTTGTCGAGAGGTACAAGGGCAAAAACATCTCTGTTGTGGCAGGTTTGTATCTGCTTATTTTTTTTTGGGACTCATTTTGATGCCGTTCTTCATATTTAATTATTACAAAAAAGAAAGAAATTAATGGCTACTACATTTATGGGTTGACTTGCAGCCTATCACCTATATGTATGCTGTCTTTCTTTTCCCTTAAAAATCTTATGGTGGACTTGCGAGCTTTGGTGGTTTATGCTAGTTTTGCAATTTGATTTTGAACTTTTAGGAAGTCTTCTTATGCATGGCATGGTTTTTATAATATTTCAGTTCCACTTTTATTTAATATGCTTGATTGTTGTCAGTGGTCATGCATTGAACTTGCCTTGCTAATCTATAAAGTAAGATTTAACGTTTGAACATAGTGGCTTTATTTTATTTGAAAGAACTGGGAATCTTGCATCTTAGAGATAATGAGTAGACTTGGTCCAAAATGTTTCTTTCAAAATTTATTTTATATTTGGCTATAACTTCTCACCTACTGGGAAATGATACAGAATCTATAATTTATTGATCATAATAAAAAAATCTATGATGTATTTGTACCACTGACAATCTTATTCATCCAATGAAAATCATGGACAGGTGGCTGGTAATAAAGAACTTAACCTACGCATCTTAGCGTTTTCGCAAATGGTGAACTATACATTTTATCGTACTTTAGTTATATGGTTTTGTTGGTGCTTCAGAAACTTAAGGGGTTGTAGTCTCCATTGGGTATTTCTTCATTCTTTTATCCTGTTTTTGAAGGTTTCTCAGAATCTCATGTGCTGTTGGGTAGTTGCCCTTTCTTTGCCCCATTTTACCTTTTAATTCTGGCAGTTATTTTGTTAAATGAACTTTGAGTTTGAAGAATGATATTTCTTAATTGTGGTATATCTCGCTTATAAGAAAGAGAATGAAATAAACTCTGCTTTGCATTTCTCGCGTCTTTTTATTGGAATCATTTTTATATGCAATAGTACAAAGTCTTTTGTGGTTCAAATGAGTCAGGATTTGATAGTTGATTTGATATTTTGAGAAACTGGGTGACGGTTTTTAGATGCATCTTGAAAGTGAGTAATTGTCTTGACAGTGAATAACTTGTCCCGGAATTGCAGTCATGATTAGGCATTTGATGCCTTGTCTACCTTGGTTGTGTAGCTCTTTTCTTTTCTGTCTGCTGGTTGGCTTTTTAAATTGACCATAATCTCAGCTTAGTAAGCTCTGGGAGTAGATAATTGGTAAACATAAGCACTTCAGTTGTGATAATTTGAAGTTTTTGCTTCTCTATTTATTTTAGTGTCACAACTTCATTTTATTTATGGTTCTTGAATGAAGAGGGAATTACTTATGAATTATTAAAGCTTTTGCTTTCAGATTTTCTTACTTCAGATTACGTTAACAACATGCCTCCATGTGCGTGAGGCATGTGTGGAATTCCAGGGAGTAAAATTAGAAAATCTCCTTTTTTTTTATTAGTATATCTAAATTCCACTTACAAATGCCACAAAACAATGCTGTAAATCGGAAAGAAAACCCTAAATACAACCTTGGATCTTTTTTTCTTCTTACTGCCAAATAGAAATAACTCATTACATGGGCTGAATTCAACCTTAAACTATGAATTTTGATACAAACAATGTTCATGAAAATTGCAATAAATTGAACAATAATGATTTAATGTAAACTTAGAACCATTGAAGGAAAAATCTGGCGGTCTAACCGGTAACCTCCCGGCTAGATCGGAATTCGGCCGGTTTTCGTGACCGTCTCGGTATTTAAAAGAAAAAATTAAAAAAATTACATAAAATCCCAAAATGGGAGATTTTATTTGTAATGCATTTTTTAATGTTTTTCATCATTATGACAAATATTGGAAATTATTTTGCCCATTAATACTTAGGTTTACATTTTCCCATCTTTTTTGGAAAATTTCAAATATACCCTTGGGCACAAATCGATTCTTTAAAGTCCATTTTTTTCATTAATTTTCAACTTCATTTGGCGCTTTGTTTAATCGTTCTTTAAATATAGTTTTCATATCTTTTGTAGTTTTTGTATTTTTTAATACTTTTTTGACCGCTTGGGACTTGCCCGATTAGAACGGTTGAACCGGCTAGTTTACGGGATAGGCTGGTTGAACTGCTTTTGGGCCCATGTCCGGTTAACCGTTCCGGTTCGATTTTTCCTACATTGCTTAGAACAACCGAGAAGACTTGACTTTGCCTAGGGTCACCCTTTTACGACTTGGTAAACCCCACACCCGATTACCTGATCTATGACGCAATCCTTTTGGCTTGCTCAATTCTATGAGTTAGAAAGCAATTGAGTGAATTCCCTTTTCAGATCCCTTTTAAGACCTTTCTAGGGCACAAGTGGCACCTCCCTTGGTCTATTAAGGTTGGTTGTGTCCCTCAATGCTATACCACCCTAAGTTTCCTAGGGTGGTGTGTGCCACCTCTTAGAGACTAGGGAGGAGAGAGAGTAGATAGGGAGGATTGGTGCGGAATAGAGAGATGGAGAGGGGCTAGATGCTTGGCGTTTAGAATGGGAGAGACTCTTGCCCTTTATATAGCTTCCAATGGGGCCTAGGTTTGCCATATCTAGTTATGAGTCATCTTGCCTAATAGGATTTTAGGTAATCTATGAGGTTGGAGAGACAAATCAATCTGAGCCACCCATCTAAAAAATCAGCCATCATGATTTAGGGAGGAATCTAGGTACCTTATCCCTTGATTCTTTGACCTACATCCACTTCTAGTCAGCCTGAGATAAGACCAATCAAAATTCATCTTCTATTTTTTACTAGAATTTCTTCTTCTCTCAAAAAGAGATTGTAGCTAGTAAAAGTCAAAGATTTGTTCAAATTCAAAGATTTAAAAATACATTCTGAACACCAAATCTTCTACACTCCCACAAAATAAAGTCACAATCTTTTCAAAGATTTCCTCCTCAATAAAACTTCTTTTATCTTTAGAAAATCAAGAAGAGAGGCTGGGAGCATCCCACCACTTGTGTGACATGTGGTTGTGGTGGACGTGTGGGTTGGATCCAAACCCATGTGTTCCTCCTAGTCCCTCTACAATTCTGGAAATTTCTGAAATGCCCTTTATAAGTGTATTTCACTGCTGAAAATGATTTTAAAAATTCTAAAGAATTTCTAAAAATCACAGAGACATTTATTTGGTTTAAAAGAAAAATTTCTATTAGTGGATTGTTACCAATGGGTCAAGAAAAAGTAATTGTTAGGGCACTCCACCCACCCCACTAACCGTGATTCTTGACCATCTTTTCAAACCAATCTAACAAGATCCATGAACTACAGTCTCATGTCATTATTGGCTTGTCAAAATTAGACAATAAATAGTGGGAACTAGAGTCCTAGAATGTGGATTATAGGTTGCCCCCTTAAGAGCAAGTCACACGCACATACCACTATAGTGCAAGGGTGACTCTCTTTAGGCACATGTACATGTATCCCTTTACAGAGTCACTTCTTGGTATGCAGCTTTCATGTGTACGTGTCGTGTGAAAGTTTATTGAGGTTTTAGTCCTCGCTCTCACAGATTTACATCAACACATAGGACACCGCAAAGCTTAGGGGTGGCAATCGAGTCGGGTCAGCTGGTTGACCTGAACTGGGTTTGGGTCTGGTCAATGTTTTCGACCCGGTGGGTCTGGTCCAGCTTCAAATGACGTGGACCTTACCTAGGTCGGGTTTGGTTTTGTGTTTTGGTTGGATTCCGGGTTCGGGTCCAACATGGACCTCTATTGAGTCGAGTTGGGTTTAGGTTGAGTCGGGGTTGACGAGAACCAACCTGACGATATAAAGTTTATAGACTTGGGTTTGGGTCCAAATGACTTGGACTTGACTTGGGTCCGGCTCCAAGTCACTTGGACCCATCAAGGTCTGGGTCCATGTGAAAGCTAGTCGTTTTGGGGTCAACTGGAACCTGACCGACCTATTGCCACCCCTTACAAAGCTCTCATGTCTTACAAACCATCACTAGGAATTTTTCCAACCTCAACACGGGATGACCCACATAAAACCCTCTTCAGTAGTGCCATATGCCTAAGGGTAAGGTCTTGAGCATGACCAGCGCCATAGACTGCCCAACTTGAAGTCCAACACAGACATTCCCACTAAAGTGTACATTCCACTATAAGTCTTTATTTACATGCTCATACAGGCTCTAAAGGCCACAAACCCCAAATAGCATATGGACCTTGAAATGAGATTTGTAGCGCTAGGACTAAGACTGATATGGAGTTTTAGCATGCGTTGTCTTTGGCTTAGTTACTCATCATATATTGAAATATTTTGCAAAAACAAACTAACATGCAAGATATCTCATGTTCCCCCTGTTGTTACACTTCATTATTGTCTTTGTCCCCAATCATGTTTTGGTAGGCTATAGTTGTCTATGTTAAACTCACACCTAAATGTTGACACTTTTATTTGTTTGACATAAGGATTCCTTTTCTAGGGAAGATGATATTCAGATAGTGTACAATATTTGACCATGACATCCTTGTGGATGGTGTGTGGAGCATGCATAAAAGCGATTACTATACAGGCAGCATTACTAATTTTTGTTTGTGCAAATCTTTATTAAAGGTTCAAGTATGGTCGGTCTGTGGTGTAACTGAAGCACAACATATGTCCTTGTTGCTACACCTCAAGCTCTACTTTCTTTCATGTATTGAGGGCTCAAAGCACTTCAAAACCTACATTTTGTTAACATCACAAGAAGATTGGATTAGGAGCTTCGAAAAGCTCCAAGTTGGTTGTATCTACTGTTCTTTAAAATTGACATTTTAGATTAGATTTCGAGATGGCATTCGAGCTGAAGCAATTAAAGGCTCATATCCATTTTTTTCAATAGATTATCTTGGCGAGTACGACAATTGCTAATGTAAAGGGAAAGTATAGAATGAGACCATTTACCTTTGGTACAAGTTAGTCACATTAATCTTGACCATTGGATGTGAAATTGGGTGGCTGCAATTATTACATTGACCAAGCTCAAACTTCAAAATAAATTTTCTCGAACTTTGTGACACATCCAAGCTATCAAATTTCACATCGGATGGTTGTAAGTAATTGTGACCACCTTGTATCAAAGGTAAATTGTCTCATTGTGTACAATCCCTAATGTAAATGAGTTTTGCTTTTGGATTTTGGAAATGTTTTGGGTGAGTACTCAATATTTTAATCTTTGCATTGGGAGAAGAAGTCTGAAATTCCATTTTGAATTGGGAAGTTTAGAAGAAGGTATTTTGCTTAAGCAAGAGGAAACAAATACTCATATCTTAGGTTTGATTTAAGGATTGGTGAATGAGTCTTATTTGTGTGATTGGACCTTGCCCACAATTAGCAAATTCAAAATATAATGCACTTCGTAGGAAATCGGGCCTTTATTCCTCTTACATTTAAAACAATTTGGAGTTTGGGAGATGTATGTGTTCATGACTTTCACTGGGCACTCTGCTACATCAGTTTGAGAAGGTTCGTTGATAAAAACTGGGATAAAATTTGTACATAGCCAATGTTTGATTTAAGGGCGACAACAAATGAGTCTTGTATGTGTTACTGAGTCCTTAACAAACTCCATAGATCCTAGACATGCCTCTTGCACAATTTGCAAATTCAATAAAAAACTGTTTGTATTAAAGTGAGGATGAATGTAAAGACAAATTTGGGGGTTACAAACTCCTATCCATTTGTCCAAATGTTATTTAGACCAAACCAGACCAGACCGACCTGTTTGGATCAGGAACTAGCGACTTGGGACCTGTCCTGTTTGGTCTGGTTTAGCCCTCTGCAATGGTTGGTCCATCGACCCGGCCTGGACTAGTGAACCGCCTACTCCACCGGTCTATAGCTGATATGGTTGGTCCTGACAGGTGGGAAAAGGTCATTTTTGACCTTTAGTTTTTCGGTTTTTTTGAACTTACCCAAATTTTTTTTTTGGTTTTTTAATAAAATGAGGTATTTAAGGAGCTATATTTTCGTCCTTTGGTTTTCTATTGGGGTGTTTTGGTAAAATGAAAGTTTTTTTTTTTTTTTGCTATAGAGAACAATTTGAGAGAGAGAGAGAGAGAGAGAGAGAGAGAGAGAGGGAGGGAGGGAGGGAGGGAGGGAGGGAGGGAGTATACACACTACTAAGAATACTTATTAGTTTGTTGTTACCGTAACCTTAACTAACAACTAATAGTACTATATACGTACTACTTTACTTTACTTTGTTTAGTTTA